GCAAATTGGGCCCAGCTTCTAGCCCCAGACAAAAGCAAGGGCTGTTTTATGCCCCTCCATCAGTCGTGTCCCTGAGATGACGAACCCCGGAGAAAGGTCTGGGTTTCCCCTCCTGTTTAGCAGTCAGCATCACCTTCATCCTTCCCGATCCTGGCTCTTTTGAGCAACACCGCAGCAAGCTGCTCCAGATCAGCCCTTTCCTGACTGACTGCAGGTTGACTGGTGAAGGCAGAAACCTTTGCAATGAAAGCTTTTCTGGGGGAGGTAGATTTTGAAGTGCTTTCCAAGGGGGCTTTTATCAGTGGGGAAACTGAGGCACAGGGTAGCAGTGTGACTTGGTTAAGGGCATTGCATCCAGGCCCAATGAGCTCCAGTCTCATGCTCTGAGATCCCCTGGAAAGGCTCCCGAAGGTGTCGGGAGTCATTGCTATCTGGACTCCCAGCAGGAAGATGGGGCCAAGCAAAGTCTCTCCACTTAACTGGTTTCTGCGCTTTAGAAGAAACCACCAAATTTGACTGTAGCTGTTGTCCGGTGGCTGCGGCACCCGGGATTCTCCGCAGTCTCCCATCGGAGTCCTGACCGGGCCCGGGACGGCTCAGCTGCTGAGGTCCGGCGCGTTCAGCCCAGTCTGACTTCTGCACAGGAAGCAGCTGTTAAACACCGAGGGACGTATCCTATAGTAATGACCCCAAAACCATCGGTCCAGCCGTGGGAGCAATAGGAAGGGGCAGAGGGCCAGCACAAAACCTATGCATGACTCACCCTGGGGTATCTCCTACTGCTTGCTCTCCGCTGCTCAGCTTCCTAGCTCGCCTTCTTGATTGCAGCTAAATATCATTGGGGGTTGGACTAGATGCAACCTCCTCAGATCCCTTCCAACCCTGATTTTCCATTATTTTCTGTGATCGTCATCTGAAAGACCCTCGTCCGCTTTCGTGTGGATCTCGGTTCGAGGCTGTCTCCTTCTGAGACCGCTGGACGGCGTGGCGGTTTGAAAAGAGATGGGCAGCATCCAACCGAGGGATGTGACCTGCATTACGGGAGCGGTGGCTTTAACCCAGGTCCTTACAGGGATGTCCACCCCAGAGTTGGCTTGAACTGACTGCTGGTTCCTGGCTGCCCTGCAGAGATGCCGAGGATCGAATGGACGGTGGATACTCGTGAAGGAGGCTGGGTTGAGAGGCGGGGGGTCCGCAGCTTGTGGGATCCTGCTTGGCAGTGACCTGCTGTGGGGAGAAGTCGCCCACCGCCTGTCCGTTCCCCTTGGAGAAGCCGTCGG